CTAAATTATTAGCATTATTTAAAGTTTGAGGTTCACAAAATTCTAAATATTTCCTAATTTCTGACCTAAGTCCATTAATAAATCTTTTAATAACAATACATAGTTCTTTAGATATTTCACAAAGTTGACATCTATTATCTAGCTAGAAAAAATTATTATACTATTCAATAACGTATTGATTTTCCTGTCTAAATTTCTGAACTTATGTAGATTTCTTAAAAATGACTTCGACATGTATTCTCATATGAGTTCAAACTTTGTTTCATTCTTATTTTAAGTGTTTTTGTAATGAATGTCTAATTTTCCTTCGTAAAACCAGATAACCTAGAGCTATCTAACTTAATCTATGGTTGCTCATTTAGATAATAACAATCAGCATAAGCTTCTAGGTCACACAACCAATCAATACATATCTTAACATTTTTAGATCTACCAAACATAGTGACATAGTGTTCTTGCATGCTATGATGAATATAATCATGCATTTTTGTACATCATTGTCATGAATGATGCTCTATATAATGCAATTATTATCATTAATTTACTCTAAATGTAATCATGTAGCAAACCCAACTTGATTTTGAAACATTTGCAAACAAATAAATTGGTTCAATTTTCTTTTCCTAGTGTAATCATACTAAATAATCGTAAATTATCTCATTGTAGCTAGAGCAAAGGTCTTATATGCAGCCTTGATAACATGTAGACTATATAAGGTGTATTTATAAATTAAAAACTTTATGTCATTGATGCGGACATCCAACCCTCCTCTTTCAAGAAGAGGAAATCTGAATTCTCTCAGGTTTTGGGGGAACAAAACTGACATTGTTCTCAGATTTCGGAGAAGAAATCCTCTCCCTAGCAAAGCCATTTCCCGTTCTACATCAGTCATGCACTTAAACATATCAAGCTAATAACAGAGTAATTCAGGAGCTAAGCTTAAAATACCTAGAAATAGCTATCAAATCAACACTTTTTGTGCTTAATCGTGCAATGGTAATTTTGTAGAAGTTTCTTTGAATGCAACAAATCTGATGCATATAACCCTTCCAAACCAAGCCCTTCTATTATATTAGGTTTCAAACTCAACCTCAGTTAGAGCTAAATGCACACTTAATTTTGGATTTATTTAGCTTTTTATATATTATCTTTGATGTTTATCCTTTTAAATTAGTTTTTTTATTAGTAGAATGTTTATGCAATCTTTTCTTTAATTTGTTTTTTTTTTTTTTTTTTTTTTTTTTAATTTTTTTTTTTTTTTTTTTTTTTGTAATCGTGATTCCATATAGTTATAAAAGGTGATGATGGCTTAATCATAATTTGTATCATCGACCACAACCATTTCTCCTTCAACCATTTTATCATAGTTTAGATCGTTCACGATCCTCACCATTCACTGTCATATTTACTCTCACCATTCAGTGTCATATTTACTGTGCCCATAGCTTTTTGAATAACTCACTCATTATATTTATTTCTTGCATCCATCAACAATTACTACTATAAGTTATTACTTCATGAATTGACAACATCTTGAATCTTTCGCTTTCAATAGCATACCTGCTTAATCACAACAAACTATCACTGTTGAAATTCGGGAGACCGATAAGTGTTTTGATGATTAAAAATAATATTGGATTGATCATTTATTGGTATATATGTATATTTTTTGGTGCGCTATTATTATTTTTGGTAAAATATACAAAGAGCCAAGTTAAAGAAGCGAACTTCAGAAATTATAGTGTTGAGTCTATTTAAAAGTGTAACCGTCTGTATTTTCTTTTCTTTTCTTTGAGTCGTTTATGTAATAGTTGTATATTGGCAAGACAACCTAGCACACACTCACAAGGGGATGAAAATTAAATACTTGAATTCTCTGTTAAATCATCTGTATGATCCAATCGTATTGTACAATCTGTTAATCCAAAAATTAAATCAAGTATTTAAGAAAGATAGAGGTAGACCTAAAAGACTTTGTTAGAAAATATTAGAAATGATCTATCTTTTTTAGATTTAAACGAGAATTTGACTTTTAACAGGACACAATGGAGAAAAAAGAATTCATGTAGCTGACCCTACGTAGTGGGAAAAAGGCTTGTTGTTGTTGTTGTTATTGTTGTTGTTGTTGTTGTTGTTGTTGTTGTAATTTCCAACAAAGATCCAGTGGGGGGCTTTTGACTTTGGGCAATCAAGTACATATTTTCGATATCTTGGGTCTATTATTCAGAGTGATGGTGACATAGATGAGGATATTATTAGTAGAATTCAAGTTGGATGGTTGAAGTGGAGGAATGCATCAGGTTTGTTGTATGATAGAAAAGTCTCTCTCAAACTTAATGAAAAATTCTATAGGATGATAGTGAGACTTACAATGCTTTATGGTGCAGAATGTTGGCCATTAAAAGAGAAGCATAATATTAAGTTAAGTGTTGCAGAGATGACGATGCACAGGTGGATGGTGGCTTTACTCTTAGAGATAAGATACAAAATGAGCATATATGTGAAAAGGTTGGAGTAGCTCTAGTGGAAGATAAGTTTAGAGAGAGTCTCCTTAGATGATTTGGTCACATAAAATGGTGGCCTTCCGATTACCCAGTTAGGAAAGTAGATTTTTTAATTTTAACTTATGTTAAGAAAGGTAGAGAGACAAAAAAAGTCTTTGTTAGAAAATATTAGAAATGACATTTCTTTATTAGATTTAGATGAGAATTTGACTTTTAATGGAGAAAAAAGATTCATGTAGCCAACCCTACATAGTGGGATAAAGGCTTGTTATTATTGTTGTTCTTGTTGCCCAACATAGTGTATTGTACTACCTATGATCTTATAGGATGATCAAGTATTTTGATAAAACTCCACTATCGAATCTTGGTTATCAAAATAAGGCTAATTTGAAATTTAAATTTTGACCTAATCGTATTGTACGAGCTATTTTTTACTATATGATTATTAATGAACATTGTTTAATTTTTCTCATTGACCATGGAATCAAAACATTGTCTTTGCCAGGTCCCAATTCCTGGATGAAAAAAGTGAATGGTTGTGTTAGGTAGTCGACATCCAGCGTAAAACTTGTCGAATAATCATGACATGAATCCTTTAAAAAAATGTGTTAATGCTAGGGCGCTCCCTGCACGCTCTCATGCAAGAAGAAGAAAAGAAGCACAAACTAGATTTTCATTCAAAATATTCATTAAGCCTCAAGATTACAATATGAAGGCTATATATAGCCTCTAACAAAGACATAAAGTAAAAGGACTCAAATGCCCTCAAGGGCTACAAGACAGATAACTCCCCACAAGGGTAAAATGGGAAAAACAGAAAATTAACTAAGACAATAATCATAACATCTATATCAAAAGTAGAGACGCTGAATCGTGGCCGTCGATCTGCGGTTTCGCCGGCGATAAACATGTCTGTAGTGTCTGTCGATGTCCTCATCAAGACTGCTGCACCAGCACCCGGGTGAAATGTTAAATAGGCAAAGGTTCCACATCAAGGATGGATGTGGGCAAAAAAGCTGGTCCATAAAATTAAAATTAGGTTAGGAACTTAGAATATAGGTTCCCTTACAGAAAAATTAATGGAATTAATATATATTATGATTCATAGGAAGATTAACATTCTGTGCATTCAAGAAACTAAATGGATTAGAGAGAAGGCTAAGGAGACTAATAGTTTAGGATTTAAACTATGGGAGCAAGTTATGGAGTGTTGGTTGCGACGTGATACTAATATTTCTCAAAATCAATTTGGATTCATGTCGGGTAGGTCTACTATGGAAGTCATACATTTATTGAGAGGTTTGATAGAAAAATATAGAGAGAATGAGGATCTACATATGATATTTATTGATTAGAGAAAACATATGATAAAGTTCTTAGAGAAGTGCTATGGAGAGTTCTTGAAAAGAAAGGAGTTAATAACGCTTATATTTGAATCATTAAAGATATGTATGCAGTAGCTATTACTTGTGTTTAATTCAAACACAAGGTGATTTAACCAAGTATATGATCCAAGTCGTACTGTCCGATTTAATAGAAATTTAATTGGATGTGCCTTGGTTTGGAACCTAGGGGAGCGGCATACCCCCGTTGTGAGGAGGGAGCAGCATCTTTGTTGTTGCGCTAAGGAGGGAGTGACAAGTCCGCTATTGCAAGAAGTTGGAGGAGGGTTTAGGCTTTGTGGAGGAAGAGCTTTGTGAAGGTAATGTAGAACGAAAATTGAACTTTGCTAGGGAAAGGATCTCTTCTCCAAAACCTGAAGGAAATTATGACTTTTTTGCCCAATACCTGAGAAGAATCTCAGATTTCTCTCTAGAAAATATAGGTTCTCTTGATAGGAGAGAGGATGCAAGCTCTAAACCTCTTCTCTTAAAATCTGAAAACGGTTTCAGATTTCTAAAAAAAATCTGAGATGAATTTCCAGATTTTAGTAGAATAGGATTTAGAGAAGGTTGGGGGAAGAGTCAAGTCTCAATGGAGATGATAAGGCTGAGAATAGATTCCAAGCTTCAGGTTCTGCACTAGAGAATCCGTCTGGAGCAATTAGTAGAGAGGAGGGAGGCAGTGGAGCATGAGAGGCGGTGGGCTTAATTCTCAAAAAAAAAAGGAAAGCAATAACTGAGCCGGAATTAAAGGCGGTGGGGCTTGGGATTTTCGGCCAAACAAAATTCTCAGGTTTGGAAATATTTCCAAAGAGAATAAATTGGCTTTAAGGCAGAT